GGAAAGAGGAAATAGTGGGGGAGGGACTGAAATGTCTGCATTCCATAGATAACCAAACTAAGCAGGACTCATTAGTCTTAGGGCTAGTACCCTGGGAGACCTAAATATGTCTCCTAGAGCATTCTGCCAAATCCTCTACTACTTGGAGGAGTTCCATGGAAGACACAAAGTTGTTCTTCTTCCAAGCTGATGTGTAAAAGGATCCCTGGAGGCACGAAGTTTTAAAAACCACTACATTAGATCAAAGAGACACATAATGATCTGACTACATAGTTTTCTCCCCAAATGCATTCTTTAAATGTAATATTTTCCCCCAAAACACGGTTTCATCTTGAAGTGTTTTATCTGTTTTTGTTAAAGAAGTGAAAAGAAGTGAGACAGTGTTTCTTAAATGAGAACAACTCCCCGCCCCCAGATATGCAGGTTAGAAGTTGAAAAGAGAAGGAGCCCAGGAGCGCCTTAAAGACTAACAAAATTTGTGGCAGGGTATGAGCTTTCATGAGCTTTCAGACAGAAGTGAGCAGTGACTCACAAAAGCTCATACCCTGCCACAAATGTTGAACCCCCACTTTGGAGGCCCGATTTCTGCCACGACGGAATCGGGCCCCGGGGGGAACTCCGCCCCCCGAAGCTGCGTCACCAGACGATCTGGGCCACCGACGATCTGGGCCACGCCCCCAATGTGAGCAACGTGCTGGTGGCGTGCCGACGAGGAGCTCCCGGAGCCCAGCGAGGCTCCCCCGTCGGGCAACCCTACTTTCAGGTGCTACTGGACTCTTGCTCTTTTCTTACTGCTACAGTCAGACTAACATGGCTATCCATCTTGATCTATCTCCATGGCAGGTTAGAAGAACCAGTTATGAGCTCACAGTGCTTTCTAGACATTCTGGGATGTGTCCACGTTTTATTCTGATGGTAGTCTCATGGAAGCTGGAATTTATGTACACGGGCAGTTTTACGTAAGAGTTTGTTTGTTTTATTTAAAATATGTTAATGCCACCTTTCTACCCAATCAGGGCCCACAGGGCAGTGGACCTAAAAACATGTAACATTTAAACAATTAAAAATACAGTTAAAATTAGAAAAATTCAGTTGAAAACACATAAGCACACTGCAGTAGCAGGAGGGCCAAAAACCATCATTGGGGGTATGCCAGATGAAATGAAAAGGCCTTCACCTGCTGATGAAAGACACCGATAGAAGGAGACAGACGAATCTTCCTGGGGAGGGAGACCCAAAGCTTTGGTGCCACAACAGAGAAGGCCCTTTTCCAAGAGTTGTGGGAATGCAGCAAAGAGAAAAGCACAGAAAGCGAGAGCAGCTTAAAGAGTACTTTATCGCACTCTTTGTTTTCATAGGTAAAAATTACTTCATCATAGAATGGGATGCACCACCCTGCCCTGAGACCTGTCCCCACCACCACCACCACCCTGCTATGATTTGAAAAACAAAACAGGCTTTACATTTGTTGCATTTATTTGTTTATTTAAATATTTATGTCCTGCCTTTCCTTGTGGCTAAAGGGAGTTTAGAAATCACAGTTTAAAAACATGTGACTTAAAATATGTAAAATAAAACCTCACATGACATTCCCTCCTTCTGAAAATTTCCAAAGACAGCACATCTCCATTTAGGAGCCCATTTTGAGAATGGGAAAATGTCTAATAAACCTAAATGCCATGCAGATTTGGAATTTATTCTGCTTCATATACAAAAATTGTTTCATATAGCCAAGATAATTTTTCTTGTCCTTTTATGGGAAATGACAGGGGAGGAAAACAACAACTGAGGACAGCCCAGTCATTCAGGGAAAACAAGTACGTGGTTTACTTTTACTTTACTTTCTTCCTGAATAAATTAATGAAACTGGTGATCTTTGGCCCTTTCATTAAACTCCAAAGGCAGCAGAACGACCGGAGCTAATATTCCCCACAGCTCATGGTGATGCTGATGGAACAGTTTAATGTGAGAACATTGCATGCAAGTCAGACCTCTCATTCCCTCGAGAGAGAATGCAACAGACACTGCACGGATTAAATTTAACAAAACTCGGGCATTAAGAACTTCATTCCTCTTGTCCTGATGGTAGAGGTCAAGGGAGGGCATTCCAAACTCCTTCATTCCATTCTGACTTTATTATGCTTGCCTTCCCTCACCACCCGGCCCTCCCTTTTATTTTTGTTTAATTACTGGCTGCTTACAATACAGGGCAATGTTTCTCTCTCTCTTTATTAATTTCAGTAACACTTGATAGCCAGTTTCACTAACAAAAATAATCAGATTCCCAAGAAAAATCCCTGGAGACCTTTCTGCAGCCTTCAACCTGAGCTAGGAAGGCCCTGGGCAAAGCACCAGAGGTTCAGCTACAAAACTCAGTCTGTCACCAGGCTTCAGATAACACAAGAAAGGTCAACAGAAAATGAATTCCGAAAACTAAGAGGATTGGATGTTATGCATGGAACTTTCCTACCTTCCTTCTTCATGCTGCAGCCGCACTGTGCTCCTCAAAATCCTACTCCTGTCGATTGGTGGACTGTTGGGAATATCCTGGATGGCCTGCAGGAGGTCTGTAGTCGAAGGATGGAATAGGTGAGAATGTAATTTAAGCAAAGTGTGAATTGTATCACTGCCAACCTCCAATTACACCTGATCTCGAAATGACAGATCAGTTCCACTGGAGAAAATGGCTGCTTTGGAGGGCAGATTCTATGGTATTACACCTCACTGAGGTCCCTCTCCGCCAAATCCGACCCTTCCTGGGCTCCGCCCCAAATATCCAGGAATTTGCCAACCAGGAGCTGGCAAACCTAGTCACTTGTGTGAGCCAAATGAAGCAGAGACAGAACAAGAGGCTATAATTTCTATTCATAATCAGTTTTTAATGCACAACCCAGAATCTATATGCACAATCAGTTTTTAAGGTGCATTCCATGTATTGTATCCAAACTAAGTTTTTCACGAACTGAAGTCACTTTTATTAGCAGAACCAATGTTTCCTGCCTTCCACCTCCCACTGCAGCCCGTTAATCTCCCCAAAAAGCTGCTCTGGGAGAACAAGGGGCCATTGGGAATGGCCTAGGGCAGTGGTGGCGAACCTATGGCACGGGTGCCAGAGGTGGCACTCGGAGCCCTCTCTGTGGGCACGTGTGCCATCGCCCCAGCCAGGCCCAGACCATCGTTAAAGTGTCGAATTCTCTGCCAAATAATTTTAAGTAAATGAAAGCATTCGGGATTGCTTTCCTTACTTTGATAGGATCATCTTTAGTTAATGTATGAGTTGTTTTTTCTAAAGTAAGAACCTCAGTATTCAGGTTAAATTGCCGTGTTGGCACTTTGCGATAAATAAGTGGGTTTTGGGTCGCAGTTTGGGCACTCGGTCTCTAAAAGGTTCGCCATCACTGGCCTAGGGCAAACTGGAGATCTATAGCAGGAAGGGGAAACTGGTGGGAATTATGCCTCTCCTTCTGTTAGTAGAAAATTTAGTCTGGAATCTCTGGACACAACCCATTTACTGGAAGTCTAACATTTGGCTGGTTCTTTCAGATCAAAAGGTGGACTTTGGTCTTCTTCATTCTCACAATGCCTGGCCCTGTGTACCTCTCCCCTCAGGCCATCTTTCCCCTGTCACACTCTTGGTCCCGGCCTTCTTTTCCATTCATTCTCCCAACCTACTTTTCCTAAGCTCTCAGTTCTATCGTATCAATCTTATCCTAGAACTTTCTGACTGGCTTACCCCTCCATGATTCCCTGTTGGTTTTCTCAATGAGGAACCTCACTCACCTCCTGCATGTGCACTAGGGATTAAACTATATTTTGAGAACAAACTGTTTCAGTTCAGCAGACCCAGTTTCTTACATGGGTTCTCCATACTTTGGACAAAATGGCAGTCATCTTTTTTTCCCCTGACCATGCCAACTAAATTTGATAGAACTGTTAACTTTAAATTGACACCTTTTTGGTGTCAGTTGTATAAAATAGCATAACATTTTGTGTTGTGTTTAAACGGTGTAAAAAAAAGAACAAATTGGAAACACCAGCAACAAAAATATGCAAAACAGAATAACAATGACAAACAAGAGAGAGAGAGAGAGAAATAAGTGAAAAATAATATATCCTTACAACAAGCTCCATTGGTTTTGAAACTTCCCATTGAGGGAGGAATAGAACTACTGCAAAACGGTGGTCTGCATACCACTTCAGTGCAGTGCACTGCATACCACCAGTGAGAGAGGAGTAGAACTACGGCAAAACAGTGCCCTGCATCCATCTTCAGTCCCCAAGAATTCCATGGTCAGTGGTATCAAAAACCAGTAACAGGTCTAAGAGAAGAAATGAGATCACACTCCACTTGTTGGTCTCCCAGCAAAACACTTCAACCAGAACAACGAAAGCAGTCTGAGACCCAAATCCCATCCAGACTGACATTGATGGACCATCTGCTTCATCCAGAAGCATTTAGAGCTCCTTGACCACTATCTGCCCAACACTTTGACTAAAAGGAATTTATGAGGTGTGTCCCAACCCCCAGAGCCCCCCACAAGCACCGAACGACCCCCACGGCACAACTTACCGGCCGCGGGGGAATCCGGCGGAGGAGAGGCAGCGCGTCGTCTGGCCGCTCCGAAGAGCGACGGGCAAAGGCAGCGGGAGTGGCGGCAGGGCGACGGCCGAACGCGGCAGCAGGCCCGACGGAGGAGGGCACTGTTTTGCCTTCGGGCCGCTTCAGCCGCCGCCGGCGTGCACACGTCTGGGAAACGCCCCCTGGGCGTCTTCCCTCTTGAAGCAGGGCGGGGCCTGGGAGGTGGAGGGAGGTGTGACCCTGGAGGGAGGGGGAAGGGGAAATAAAAGGCGGGGACCTGAGAGGTCCGGGGAGGAAGAGGCACGAAGCAGGCTGGAGACGGGAGAGAGAGAGACAGACCTGGAGCAACGTGGGCCTGACGTGTGGGCAGAGGGGCACCCGGGGTGTGTTGAACCCCGCCCCCTGCCATTCTGAGGTCTTCTCTTCCCCGCCTTTTTCCTCACCCCAGCCACCTCTGGGGCCACACAACCCTCCACGGGGTGTGGACCCACGGCCACACAACGGCCACCGGGGGCGCCACCCCGAAGAAGAAGGGAGAACGCGACAAGGTGATTGTTAGGAAGCTCAGAGATGCCCAGAAAGGAATGCGCCAATTTGTCTCAGACTCCACCTTGGTTTTGGTGTTTATGTTTGTTTATATGTGTTCACAGAACTATTTTATATATACCTTATTTTAAATATTGAAATCTTTTAATGTTTTGATGTTTGCCCCCTTGGGGACTCCATTTGGGTAGAAAGGCATCATAGAATGTTTTAAATCAACCAATAAATAACAAAAGGCCGTCTGCCTCATCTTCTGCCTTCTGCCTCCATTGCTGCCTGCACAGGCCCAGCCACATTACCTGAATTCTTGCTATTTTGTTTAAAGTGTTCATTAGAAAAAAGGAAATTGGATATGAACACAGATGTTCAGTATGTAATTGGGACATAATGAGATTCGACCACAATGAAGAAAATATTGACTTGGATCCTGCTGTAGATTAATGTAAATGGTGACAGAAGGGATTTCTGTCAGTGGAATGGAACTTCCTTGCCTCCTCCCATCCTCTGGTAGCCCAAATTACCCCCAGAATGCTGCTCCTGGGGACAAGAGACCCCCCCCCAGGAATATGGCAGGGGCTGTGACTCAGTGGTAGAGCATCTGCTTTGCATGCAGAACTCAGTCCCTGCCATCCCCAGTTGGAATGAAGAGGCAGTAGGTGATGGGAAAGACCTCTGCCTGAGGCCCTGGAGAGCCACTGCATAGTAGGGATGGAGGTAAATAACACAACCTGATGAATAGCACCCTGTTAAACATTTTTGAAGGGACACGATATTTTTCTCCAGGCCAGTTGGCAACCATAGTTATTTTCTAAGAAAACCCTCCAGGAACAGGGAAGAATTCAAGCAGTGAGTGTGTGCCAGGTAAGATTTCCAGGAAAGATGCCTTTGGAGAGTATCTTTCTGTGGCAGTTACCTCAGATAAGGGCCCATGAGTGGTATGAGGCCAGGCCCTGAAGAAAGAATCTGTCCTGAGTGAGTTGTGGAAAAGTCCAGGAGGTCACCAGAAGATTTGTGAGACTGAACCCCAGAAGCTTGTAGAAGCTTTTCCAGGGCTGCAATCACACACACTAAATAATCCACTTTCAATCCACTTTCAATGCTCTTTCCAACTGGAGTTTACTGTGTGAACTGGCAAAATCCAACTTGAAAGTGCATTGAAAGTGGATTATTTAGTGTGTGTGATCGCAGTGCAGAGACATTTGGAGTTTGGAGGAGCTACTCTAGGTAAGCACAGCCCTATTCTTATTCTCCTATCGCAGTGTAAAACAAAGTGAGGTATATTTATCACTCCCACCCAGCAAAAAGAAAGGAGAGAAATGGGAGGAGGCTAAAGGTCAAAAGGGGAGGGAGACACTGGATCAGTTTGGATGGGAGGTGAAAGGAAATAAGGAAGCTGAAAATAGAACAGATTATGTAAATAGAACATGGCTTTCCTAAGATTATTAAAATGTCACAAAGTAACTAGAGATCTAGCAGAAGAATGAAAACAAGTATGGTCTGGTTGTGCAAACTGAAGAATTCTTGCATGTCACTTCTATGCATGTCCTCCATGCATGTCACTTCTCCCCCAGGCCCCATGAATCTTCTAGGAAGCCCTGGGAAAGTATTATTGTCATCTGCCCATCTACTCACTTGACTACTACTGCTGATCTGCTCAGGAGAAGGGGTGAGATTTTTGTCCAGACCTGGAAGAACCAGGCAACATTCTAGGAAGCTTCCCAGATCTCTGTGGTCTTTACCACAGAGATTTGGGGATTCCTTGAATGTCACCTGGAAGTGTTGTCACTTCTAGCAGCAGACACATTCCCACCCCTCCCTTTTTTCCACTGTGACTATCAACAAGCCTGGCAATCCTAAGAAAAAGCCTTTCGTTTCTTTGCCTCAGTGCTCCTGCTGCAATATCAGGGTAACAATACTGGCCTGTCTCACAAGAATGCTATAAAGATTGTTGACATAATGAATGTGATCCACTTTGAACACTGTGAAATGTACTCTATAGATGCCAAGCATTACTCGTAACTTTAAATTGCTCAGTGCCCTGACTAGGCCTGTATAATATTAGATGGAACATGGAAAACAAAATTCACACACTTCTGCTCAGTAAAGATTACTCATTTATCTCATTTTCCATCCCTGTGGTATTTTGAGGCACATTTTGGCAGCAGGTTTTCAAAACTGATCTAGTTTCAAAGCACTTCAACAGTTATAGATTGAAGACACTTTAAACAAACCCCACAAAATCAAGTCCTATCCTATCCTGTTGGGGCAGGGTAATGGAAAGGCCTGAAACAGTATAATGCTTGCCAGTTTCTGTCACCATACCCTGGATCACATATTCAAAGGTTTATTAGCATTTTATGAGTTGTGATTTCAAAAGGTTGGATTGTGTGAAGCAGAAGCGGAAGCCGCCCGCAGACCTG